AACCACTGGCGCCATCCGGGCTGGGCAGTGGCAGCTTCTAGGCTCCCTAACTGCGGCAGCCGCAGAAGTTGCAGAGGCTCAATTGCCTTAACTGTCACAGTCGGTGAAGTTGCAGAGGCTCAGGCCCCAATATTGCCACGGCAGTTGGAGTTGCAAACTCGATGGGAAAGAAGCTGCTCAAGCACAGGCTGTCGGATAGTACGAAGTCGCTGTACATACCGTGCAAAACGCAGGTGCTGCCAAGAAGGTTTTATTTTAACACTCCTAAAGCCTGAAGCGCAGCATCTTATCAAAATGGAAAACAAAGATGCCAGCTGTACGTCAACACCCCTAAAGCCCAGACCTCGGCGTAGTCGGGTCCAGTCGGGTTTGCTTTTGATGTACTGTGTGGTGTGTGCGCGCTAGGTGTGGAGATATTGCTCGGGGTGTCCGCGAAACAGTGTCGTGATCATCCCCTGACAAAGCTTCCCCCCACCCAATTTCGGGTTTTCGCCGAAAGCCGCCGAAATCCCAAACTCGAGTTCGCAAAGTGCAGAAGTAGGTTTGGTGAACATGAAAGAGGGTCCGACATCACGAAAGTACTGCAAATACCGAGAAAAACGGCTCTTGTGGAGATGTTGTTCGGGGTGTCTGTGTAACAATGTCGTTATTATCCCCCCCCACCCCCCCACCCCCCCACCCCAATCCGAAGCGCAATTTTTCCAAACTCCAGGACTGGCTTTTGAGGGAGGAAGAAGTGGTATGACACGACGAACGTACCGTAAATGCCGAGTAAATCGGATGTGCTGTTACGAGGGTTTGTAGCAGAGGTGGTTGGTAGGGGGTACTACTACTACTACTACTACTCCTCCTCCTCCTCCTCCTCCTCCTCCTCCTCTTGCTGATGCGGCTAGTGCTTCTGCAACTACTGCCACCACCACTGCCAGTGCTGCTTGTACGGAATCCCTACTACGACGGCGAACCGTCAATGAGTGCGGCTTTCGATATCGGTTTCGTTCACCATGCCCTGAAACTTAAACCTTCTGTTGCCATTCATTCCGTTGATAGAGTTCTGTTTGTCGCCATCACCCAAAGATGTGCCTGAGGTTATGCTTTGTCACTGCGTCGCGGCCTCGACTTGACGCTGAATGTTGTGAAGGTTGTGGAGTTCGCTTTGTCACGTCGGCTCTGAGTGACGTCGCCATGCAGAAACTTATGTTTGTAGTCGGGGGGTGTCAGCGACAGTTTCTTGCAGAAACAGGGTCGCTTCAACTTTAAACTGGAGAACACAGGAGCATTCATCATGAGAAAAGCGATCCGAAGAGGAGACAGTTGCCACACCTCCACCAGTGCGGTACATCATCAGCCTTTACCCTCACCCCAAAACCTGAGGGCCCGAACCCCTAATCAGAAACCCATAATCCTCGCCCCGAAACCCTAAACACCGACCACCTCGTTCGAGGCTTCGTAGGCCACGGCGGCCGGCGGCTTGACTCCACTGCGCCGCCCTACCCAGACCCCCAGGACCTTGCCACAAAATTATCGCCTAGTAGGCTTCAGCTTTAGGAGGTTAGGGTGTGAGAGTCAATTGTTTAGGGCTTTTCAGGTTGCGGTGTTTGGGTCCCCTGCTTGCCGAAGCTCGACGAAAGAGTCGTTTACAGTCAAGCTTCTGAAAGTACAAGTCAGGTTCCGAGCCTACATTGAAGGATTTGGGTACCTGAACCCCAGGCCATAAATGCCCTAAACCCTCAAACGTCTTGTAAGCTCCTCAAACCCTGAATCCTAGAATTTAGAGAGTCGTAAAACCCTAAACCCGACCCCTGAACTCGAATACCCTGCGAGGACCACCAGCTCTTCTTGGCCATCCAGGCATTCACAGGGACGATGCGCTTTTAGGGTCCTTTTTATAAGGGTGCCGTACTATTTTGGGGACCCAAAAAGGGGACCGTAATTTCGAGAACTACCCACATGGACCCTAAGTTTGCATGGAAGGGTTTAGGGCTTTCCGATTGGGGTATCGCAGCACTGTGTTACAGTTGCTACAAGATACAACTTCAGAGCCTTGTCACTTTTCGGGGCACTGCTTCGGTTGCTGCGAGAACCTGCCGCCACAGGACACCCTGAACCCGAAAAAGTCGGAACATGTATAAACCCTGCAGTTTACGAATCTGAACCGAAATACCCAATCCCCTGAATCCCCGAAGCTGCAATGTCTAACCGCAAACCCTGAACCCTGGACCCCTCAAAGCCCTAATCCATGACCCCTCCTCGTAGCGCCTTGTCCATGTAAGCACTGGCGCAGACGGCCCGATTCTTGGACTGTCAGACCTACTTCGAGGCCTGGGATTTGAAAGGGATTGGGCATTGGTGTTGATGGATATATGAGAGTTGTTTGGGGTTCGGGGGATCTGGGAGGGTTTAGGATTAGCGCATCCTGTTACGGGGTTACTCGCGGGTTGATCTCGCCGGCCCAGTGTGCACCCGACTTGCGGGTGTGAGCTCAGGGTTCACCGCTAAGGGTCCACGGTTAGGGGTTCATTGTTCATAGTTAGATTCCCTTTGAGCCTGGGAAGCTGGAACCAGAAACTTGAAAAGCTTCCAGATCCGGCTTGGAGGACCAAGGGAAACAGGAAATGGGGTCACTCGCCTTCGAAGTCTCATTCATTCCTAGTCCATGACATCCCGAGTCGCCGGAAAGATCATGATTGGCAAGAGTGCTCTACCCATAGGCCCCATGGTAGTTCCTTCTTGTGGCATATATTCAGGATCCTATGAAGGAAACCCAAAAAGGAACTACTATGGGGCCATATGGGTACAGTCCTAAAGTTACAGGACCATTTGTGTGCTGATGCAAGTGCGTGATCTGCGGATGCGCTCCGTGCCACCACACACTCTCAGCAAACGCCCTAAGCCCGTGCAAGGAGTACTGCATCCCGCTGATTCTCCGTGGCCTAGCACGCGATGCCGCCTATAGGCGCAGGAAGTGGTTCGAGGCCGGACAGGCGGTTTCGAAGATTCAGCGTTTCATGTTTCCTGGTCAGTCTTTTCATCTCAGGATGCAGGAGCTCTGCCCTCTTTGTTATGAGTGGGTCGATCCGATATGGAATTTGCGTTCATACAGCATAAGTTTGAGTTGAAGCCCCGGGCCGTAGGCCGTAGACTAAGCAACAGCATGGGACTTGCAGTGGACACTGGTCCAGATGGGCACATGCGTTTGCAGGGACCGGGGCTTACATTCATGTGTAAGCCCAAGGGGCGATGACAGAGGTCATTTTATGATAATGCTCATACGTGTTTTCAATACTTGTTCAATGCATGTTCAAATGCATCTAGGCTATGCGTAGACATACTGTAGGTGTTGTGCAAGCATGCAGATGTGTGCATGTGTGTATATATGTATGTATTAGTATGTATTGTATTACATACACAGGTATATGTACATGTGCACATGTATACATCTGAAGGAGTTTCAATCCAAGTGTTTATGTAAAAGCATGCATACATGCATGCTTGCATGCATACACACGTAGCTACATACGCACCATGTATGTGCACATAATAAGCATGACTGCCTAATGCAACACATTGTCCTTTCTCTCGCACACACACACACATGAAAGAAACATGTGTGTATAGGCATGTAAGTACTGTACATAGATAATACTGTACAGGAAGACAAGCAGTCTTTCTGGAAACGGGCCGGAGCATCATAGAAGAGTGTGTATAGGGTCCCGGTTCAGCACCTGTGAACCCCTCGCCCGCTGTCTGCAGCCCTTTGCGGCTGGAGTGTCTCTGAATCGTGCTGTGCATCGCAGACACCCCATGTGTTCCAGAAGAGGATCGAACAGTGAGCTGTCAAGATTACCACGGCGGACATAAGTAGCTTCAGGGCGTGTCCATGTCCCAACTGGTGTGAAGCCAAACACAAAGAAAGACTGGACAAATCCGCTTTCCGCTCCAAGCATTCTTATAACATCTTGGTATGGTTGGCTCAGGCCGTTGTGAATTTTCTTGCTCAGCGTGCCTCACAGGAGACACCCACCAGATGAGCCTTGCAACCACGACCGAAAGCACTGCAGAGACTGTTTGCCAGAGCTAGAGAACCAGATGCAGTGTGACGAGCTGTGTCGTGCATTGCAGCGCACGGTGCAGTATCGGTTGCCTTGGGGCACCCGTGTGTTGGTATCTTCGGATCCCGATGAGCCATGCGCTCAGTTGGAGTTGGAGCGAAGCAAGGGAATGCAGGGATGTGGCACACACATCTCAGTCTTTTCGCTCAGTACATTTTATAGATATGGGTGACTGTCATAATCATGGTCCCTCTGGGGAACCCAATATAGTTCAGTTCTTCATACGGCACCAAATAGTTTGGGAACCCAAAACAACCGCCCACATGCACTACCTACATTATAACACTTACATGGCGAAAGTCAAATGCGTATAAGATCTCAAAGCACACCCGGCTCCCCCTCCCCCCTTCCCTAAACCCCAAACCCTAAACCCCAAACCCTTAACCCGCAAACCCTAAACCCCAAACCCTAAACCCTGAACCCTGTACCCTAAACCCTAAACCCTAAACCCCTAAACCCTAAACCCTAAACCCTATACCCTGTACCCTTTACCCTACTCAGGTGCGAGGCGGAGCTGCGCTTGATGCTCGAATCCCCGGGGCTCCTGGGCCTCGACGCCGAGTGGGCCGACGCGCGCGGCAAAGTAGCGCGACATGGCGGCCGTTACGGACTATAGGGTTTAGGGCTTAGGGTTTTAGCGTTTCAGGGTTATGGTATGCTTCATAATTATAATGCAGGTTTTCGTGCTCGTGAACTTGTTTCGGAAGACAATTACACAGCTCTGAGTTCGCAGGCTCCTGCAGCTGGCGAGCCGATCGAGGGGCCCGGTGGCCAAGTGGGCCTTCACCAACTTGAACTCAGAGGGAGGTTTAGGGTTTAGGGTTTAGGGTTTAGGGCAGCTGAGATCTGCATTGGAGTCTCTATCTCCTGGAAACTGCACCCCATCGGGACTGCTTAGCAATAGCTGCAGGAAGCAAACAGCCGCAGTGGCATGAGAACCGCACGGTTGCCAAGACACCGTCGGGACCGTAGCTCTGCCTGGAAGCTGAATCGGTAGCTCAGTCACTGCAGCAGTCTGCAGTTGTCGGCTCCGCTCGCAAGGGTGCCTCCTCATGCGGATGCCAATGCTGGAGACCTTGCCAGCCAGCTGCGTCCTTAATTGAGCTAGACCGGTCAGGAATGGCACAGCGTCTTCAACAAGTGTTCAGTTGTGGTCATGAGAACGAAGATCGAAGACTGAGACATGTCCTCTATTTCTTTTTCGGCATGCAAGATGTGGGAGCCATGATAAGCACCACCCCGCAATCGCTGACATCAATCATTGTGCTCACAGGTCTTGCAGAGCTCCTGCTGCGAGAGGCCCGCTCGACTGGAGGGTTCAAGACAGGAGATCTTCGCCATCGGAGTCGTTGTTTTGGGCTTGGGTCCTCTGGCGATTAATTTGCATTGCCGATGATTGATGTTTGGGGTCGTGGAGGGACTGTGCACACGATGGCTGCCAGCAAGACTCCGGTAGCCAATTAGAACTAACTAGCTCCGGGTCTAATGAATATAGGGCCCTTAAAAATTACCAAAACTATTTGGGGATTCCTTACTATAATTATAGTATAATGGGCCCCAAAACCCTATTCTAACTATTAGGGCCCCTACGTTAGCGTTTAGGATCCCGATTTGGGAAGACAAGGTCTTGCCCTAAGGCGACCGCAGAAGCCCAGGCGTTGACCGCCAAGGTCTCGACCCAGAAGCTTACCCATACTACCTATACCCACTATAGTCTCCATTGTAGTTCCTTTCTGGGGATACGTTATAGGTTAAACCAAAAAAAGGAACTACAATGGAGACTATAGGTAGTTCCCAAGGCTCGCCATATCATATTTGCAAAGCTCTGTAGGGCCCGAAGTCACGAACTCGTGAAACCCGAACGTATGTTCACAGCCCCAGGATTTCCTGAAGGTCGGCGTGGGCATCGCCCAGGACTCCGGCAGCCTCTGACGCTGCAAGGTTTTGACTGTTGGGTTTTGGGAAAATCTCTACTTAAATCCACAACAGTATGTAAAACAATGGCCCGACACCCAACAAGAGCTACTATTCTACAAATTTTTGATTTTGGGGTCCAAGAGCTATTATTCTACATACTTTTGATTTTGGGGTCCAAGAGCTATTATTCTACATACTTTTGATTTTGGGGTCCAAGAGCTGTTATTCTACATACTTTTGATTTTGGGGTCCAGGTGCTCTCGGTTTTTAAGAAGGGGCCATGCAGAGGACCTGCGGCTCCTTTCCGAGCAGTTCGGGCTGCAAAGTCGAGGACTGAAGAGTTTGTAGGGCTTATAGGGGTTTAGGGTTTAGGGTGTAGGGGTTTGGGCTTTTAGGGTTTATAAGGGTTTAGGATTTAGGGTGTA